GCAAGTTCTCCCACTTAAAAAGATGAGAGAGGCCTGTAATTTTCATCATAGGTACACGTCAACTATGACAGACAAATTGAGAAGAAAAACATCCAGAAAATCAAATTGTAGGATTTGTTATTTATTTATTTGCAAATTATGGTGGAAAATAAGTATTTGGTCACCTACAAACAAGCAAGATTTCTGGATCTCACAGACCTGTAACTTCTTCTTTAAGAGGCTCCTCTGTCCTCCACTCGTTACCTGTATTAATGGCACCTGTTTGAACTTGTTATCAGTATAAAAGACACCTGTCCACAACCTCAAACAGTCACACTCCAAACTCCACTATGGCCAAGACCAAAGAGCTGTCAAAGGACACCAGAAACAAAATTGTAGACCTGCACCAGGCTGGGAAGACTGAATCTGCAATAGGTAAGCAGCTTGGTTTGAAGAAATCAACTGTGGGAGCAATTATTAGGAAATGGAAGACATACAAAACCACTGATAATCTCCCTCGATCTGGGGCTCCACGCAAGATCTCACCCCGTGGGGTCAAAATGATCACAAGAACGGTGAGCAAACATCCCAGAACCACACGGGGGGACCTAGTGAATGACCTGCAGAGAGCTGGGACCAAAGTAACAAAGCCTACCATCAGTAACACACTACGCCGCCAGGGACTCAAATCCTGCAGTGCCAGACGTGTCCCCCTGCTTAAGCCAGTACATGTCCAGGCCCGTCTGAAGTTTGCTAGAGTGCATTTGGATGATCCAGAAGAGGATTGGAGAATGTCATATGGTCAGATGAAACCAAAATAGAACGTTTTGGTAAAAACTCAACTCGTCGTGTTTGGAGGACAAAGAATGCTGAGTTGCATCCAAAGAACACCATACCTACTGTGAAGCATGGGGGTGGAAACATCATGCTTTGGGGCTGTTTTTCTGCAAAGGGACCAGGACGACTGATCCGTGTAAAGGAAAGAATGAATGGGGCCATGTATCGTGAGATTTTGAGTGAAAATCTCCTTCCATCAGCAAGGGCATTGAAGATGAAACGTGGCTGGGTCTTTCAGCATGACAATGATCCCAAACACGACGAAGGAGTGGCTTCGTAAGAAGCATTTCAAGGTCCTGGAGTGGCCTAGCCAGTCTTCAGATCTCAACCCCATAGAAAATCTTTGGAGGGAGTTGAAAGTCCGTGTTGCCCAGCGACAGCCCCAAAACATCACTGCTCTAGAGGAGATCTGCATGGAGGAATGGGCCAAAATACCAGCAACAGTGTGTGAAAACCTTGTGAAGACTTACAGAAAACGTTTGACCTGTGTCATTGCCAACAAAGGGTATATAACAAAGTATTGAGAAACTTTTGTTATTGACCAAATACTTATTTTCCACCATAATTTGCAAATAAATTCATAAAAAATCCTACAATGTGATTTTCTGGAATGTTTTTCCTCATTTTTTCTGTCATAGTTGACGTGTACCTTTGATGAAAATTACAGGCCTCTCTCATCTTTTTAAGTGGGACAAATTGCACAATTGGTGGCTGACTAAATACTTTTTTTCCCCACTGTATGCACACATACTCAGCTGAGTTCTTACAAGAACTGAATTTCATATAATATTCAAGACATCAATGTTGCAGTAGAACAAATATCACAATATCGGAATATAACTTAAAATAAAATAAATTAATGTAAGCTACAGCAGAACACATATGAGAATGATATACAGTGCCTTGCATTCATCCCCCTTGGCGTTTTTAATATTTTGTTGCATTACAACCTGTAACTTAAATTGATTTTTATTTGGATTTCATGTAATGGACATACACAAAATTGTCCAAATTGGTGAAATGAAAAAAAACAACTTGTTAAAAAAAAATATAAAGAATAAATAACGGAAAAGTGGTGCATGCATATGTATTCACCCCCTTTGCTATGAAGCCCCTAAATAAGATCTGGTGCAACCAATTACCGTGAGAAGTCACATAATTAGTTAAATAAAGTCCACCTGTGTGCAATCTAAGTGTCACATGATCTGTCACATGATCTCAGTATATATACACCTGTTCTGAAAGGCCCCAGAGTCTGCAACACCACTAAGTTATTGGCACCACCAGGCAAGTGGCACCATGAAGGCCAAGGAGCTCTCCAACAGGTCAGGGACAAAGTTGTGGAGAAGTACAGATCAGGGTTGGGTTATAAAAAACTATCCGAAACTTTGAACATCCATCAAATCCATTATTAAAAAATGGAACGAATATGGCACCACAACAAACCTGCCAAGAGAGGGCCGCCCACCAAAACTCACGGACCAGGCAAGGAGGGCATTAATCAGAGAGGCAACAAAGAAACCAAAGATAACCCTGAAGGAGCTGCAAAGCTCCACAGCGGAGATTGGAGTATCTGTCCATAGGACCACTTTAAGTGGTACACTCCACAGAGCTGGGATTTACTGAAGAGTGGCCAGAAAAAAAGCCATTGCTTAAAGAAAATAATAAGCAAACACGTTTGGTGTTTGCCAAAATTCATGTAGGAGACTCCCCAAACATATGGAAGAAGGTACTCTGGTCAGATGAGACTAAAATTGAGCTTTTTGGCCATCAAGGAAACCGCTATGTCTGGCGCAAACCCAACACCTCTCATCACCCCGATAACACCATCCCCACAGTGAAGCATGGTGGTGGCAGCATCATGCTGTGGGGATGTTTTTCATCGGCGGGGACTGGGAAACTTGTCAGAATTGAAGGAATGATGGATGGCGCTAAATACAGGGAAATTCTTGAGGGAAACCTGTTTCAGTCTTCCAGAGATTTGAGACTGGGACGGAGGTTCACCTTCCAGCAGGACAATGACCCTAAGCATACTGCTAAAGCAACACTCGAGTGGTTTAAGGGGAAACATTTAAATGTATTGGAATGGCCTAGTCAAAGCCCAGACCTCAATCCAACTGAGAATCTGTGGTATGACTTACAGATTGCTGTACACCAGCGGAACCCATCCAACTTGAAGGAGCTGGAGCAGTTTTGCCTTGAAGAATGGGCAAAAATCCCAGTGGCTAGATGTGCCAAGCTCATAGAGACATACCCCAAGACACTTGCAGCTGTAATTGCTGCAAAAGGTGGCTCTACAAAGTATTGACTTTGGGGGGGTGAATAGTTATGCACGCTCAAGTTTTCAGTTTTTTTGTCTTATTTCTTGTTTGTTTCACATTACAAAATATTTTGCATCTTCAAAGTGGTAGGCATGTTGTGTAAATCAAATGATACAACCCCCCAAAAATCCATTTTAATTCCAGGTTTTAAGGCAACAAAATAGGAAAAATGCCAAAGGGGGTGAATACTTTCGCAAGCCACTGTATAGGCCTCCTGCCTATGTGATAATGTGAAGTGCATATTCAGATTAACTTCACAGTACAGAACAAGTTTGTAAAGGAAAAATAAGTTCCTACCTTAGTTTCAAAACCTCCCACAATGACTCCCCCCATGTCAAGTCCATTTAACTTCTGACAGTCCATTTCTTGCTCAAAGCCATGAGCATGCCTGTGGCTGTGATGTTTAGCCTCCTTGTAACTCTGTTCTGAAGACTCTGGCTGTAGTGCTTATTTTTTTCATTTTGAGAGTTATCTATAACCTGGGTGTCCTCTTTAGCCTTGTCTTCAATGCTTGCTGCCACTTAGTGCGCTTTGGTTCGGGCATGTTCAAAACCCTTTTTGTTGTTGTTTTTTACGTTGGAGGCAGAGGACATTACTGTACGTTCCACCCACTCTTTTACTAGTTTAATCCATCCAGTCTTTTCTAGACCCAAGCTCTCTAAATCTTTGCATGTTGTACAGCCCAGCTTTGAATATTGCTTGACAAGCCAGGGTTTATACGTTTGCTTGTTCTTAAACTGAGCCTCCGTCCGGTGGATGCAAATGTACATTTTGCCTCTGGAACAGGAGTGGAGAAATAGGATTTATTTGTATTTATTGAGCGAATATGAACGCGCAGTTAGGGACCAGTTTGTAGAGGTGCTATCTTTATCAGCATCATAAAAGCTGATAGTATTTCAACCACTTAAAATATGAAATTATATCAGAAACATGTTGGATCATTTTCACAGCTTTGTATTTCCTTACAACCTGTCAAACTTATGTCATTTGGACATTTAGCACAAAAAATCACGCTCATGTACACCGAATGCACACACACACACACACACACACACGGACACACACACACACACACTCACAGACACACACACACACACACACACACACACACACACACATACACACACACACACAAATACACAAACATGTTCAAAAAGACAGTCACACTTGGATATACAGTACCAGTCAAAAGTGTGGACAAACCTACTCATTCAAGGGTTTTTCATTATTTTTACTATTTTCTACATTGTAGAATAATAGTGAAGACATCAAAACTATGAAATAACACATATGGAATCATGTAGTAACCAAAAAAGTGTTAAACAAATCTAAATATATTTTAGATTTTAGATTCTTCAAATAGCCACCCTTTGCCTTGATGACAGCTTTGCACACTCTTGGCATTCTCTCAACCAGCTTCATGAGGTAGTCACCTGGAATGCATTTCAATTAACAGGTGTGCCTTGTTAAAAGTTAATTTGTGGAATTTCTTTCCTTCTTAATGCGTTTGAGCCAATCAGTTGTGTTGTGACAAGGTAGGGTTGGTATAAAGAAGATAGCCCTATCCTCTACAACTCATCAAACAGGAACAACTTCCAAGAGGTCTGCTTCGAGGCATCAGTGACAGCTAGGAAAGATGAATGACTCAGACTCTCACAGAAAGTCATACAGACAGTCAGGCAGACACGACAGACAGACAGACAGAGAGAGAGAGAGAGAGAGAAAGAGAGAGAGAGAAATAGAGACAGACAGACAGACAGAGACAGAAAGAGAGGCAGACAGAGAGAGAGTGGGTCAACTCCAACCCAGCCGTCCTACCCTTGCAGAGCTGAGGGTGGTGGAGGTCATGTAGCTGGCTGACGAGGAGGCCAGGGTATCTGGGTAGGAGACCATGGAGAGGGAGTCAGGGTGGAGGGCGGCCACACAGGCACCCCCCTGCCGAGCCTTCAAAGCCTGGATCTCACGGCGCAGCACCATCCCATCGAAACGCTCCAGATCCTGGGGAGTCACCAGGCCACGCACCTCTGATAGCAGGGCGAACTGAGAGGAGGGGTGGGGAAAGGGAGGGAGACAGGGTTCAAGAGTTATAGGGAGCTATAACATGCATCAGGCTAAAACATGCATTAGGAGACTATGGGGAATGCAGACTGCAACTGAAGAACACTGTAAAGCACTCTACCAATTGTGAATTCAATACATTTGATAAATCATTGTTTTATATGAGGTGCAGGGCTAGGGCATTGACAGAAAGACAAGCGGCTATATAATATACTGAGAAAAACAGAAGTCTGAGCATCCACAAAAGCCTTAACATAAATCATGGAAAGTCTCACAAAACTTGTCATCCAAGTGATGGATGTACAGAGAAAAGGCAAGCAATCACCATAAGCATTACAAAGTGAGGGAACATAAGAACCCAATAAATAATGCACCTCACAACAACTAACGCAAACACGCACACACACACGCGCACGCACGCACATACACACTCACACATCCTCCCCCCACATCCCCCCATACATACACTTTCACTCCTCACCTTGGCATGTGTGTTGAGCAGTTCAAACAGGGCCATGACCAGCTGCTCCACCCCTATGTGTCCGTCCCGGTACTCCTCCATGTAGTAGCCCATGGTCTGCCTCTCTGTCTCTGTCAGCAGGTGGCGGGCCTGCTCCTCCAGCATGGCTCTGCTCTGGTTCACCAGGCTGGACAGGGTCACCTGGGAGCCCGCCACACCCTTATAGAACACCGGCTGGAGGGGAAGAAAGAAGGGACAAGGGACAGGGGGTAAGGAGGATGGTTGAAAAAGCAAGAGGGAAAAGATGAGTGTGTGTGTGTGTGTGTTTGTGTGTGTGGAAGAAGGAGGGTCAGATGGTGGTGAGAAGTGGGAAGGCGACACAGAGGTGAGGGGGGAGGTGTGTGTCAGGCAGGAAATTATAAATGAGAAACAAAGGGACAGAAAAAAACAGGGAGAGAGAGAGAGATAAATCATATGTACATGCCCATGCATTAGCCATTCCTCATCATCCATCCATCCAACCCACAGCTGGCATGGAGGGGCCAGAGTTCCTCACTCTAACACTGGCCCTAAGGGTCTTGGCTCTCATCACAAACACAGAACCATGGCCCACTCTGTGTGACAGCCCTTTTCTTTGCCAGCTCAGCCAATCCAATCAATTCACTGAGTGATGGCATCACGGCACTTGAGAAACAGATGAGAATTGTACTCTGTATTCACACACACATACACACACACACACACACACACACACACACACACACACACACACACACACTCATACAGAGCACATACGCACACATGCACGCACACACACAAGCTCTGTCTCCTCTCCTCACTCTTCCTTGCCCTCTCTTTCCCCCGCTCTGCACTCCTCTCTTTCTTTCTCTCTTTATCTCCTCGCTAGCAGCTTTCCTTGAATAAGCTCCATATTTAAAGACACTTCAAAGTCACCAGCCGCAAGGCTGTTTAAGAGAGATGGAGAAAAAGAGAGAGATGAAGAGAGAGAAAGAGACAGAGAGAGGCGGCTGGGAATGAAAGAGAAAGACATAAAGAAAGAGAGAGGAGGGAAGGAGAGAGAGAGGGGCACCCCAACCTCCTCACCTCAGCCTCCTCATCCCAAACTCTTAACCACTCTCATTCGTCTGTGTTAGCCATCAGGTCTGGGGAACGAAGTGTTGCAGCCTGCGCCAAACATAAGTCCCTACCCCAAGGTGAACCTGCACACTAATCAACTCTATACTTACAACATGCATTTAGATGAAGAATCCTATGGACAAGGGCACATTGGTTGTGTCCCAAATGGCACCATATTCCCTACAGAGCCCTGGTCAAAAGTAGTGCACTATATAGGTAATAGGTTGCCATTTGAGACGCAGCCTGAGAGTATAGTTCAAACCTACAAGGTGTAACAACAACCAATCCCTTTTTATTGCCAATCCATGTGATAGTCGTTAGGACACTGCTGGTGCCAGCGACAATTTAATTACTTAATTTGGTTAAATTAATTACAGCACTAAAGACTGCTCTCTAGATATTAGCTTCTGAGACCCAGGGTCTAGCCTGTAGCCCATGTTAAAATCTAGATCATTTAGCTATTTGATTTTGAATTTTTGGACTCCTGTAGGTATCCCCCCAAAAAATGTATTATAAGGAATAAGGTTTTAAAGTGTCTGTTGCTGTCCTATATCGAGGAGATATAAGAAAGCTCAGGAAATATTTTTCTTTTTTGGACACGTATTTAACCCCTTTTTTTGTTGGCACAAAACTACCTTCATACTTCCATTCATTTTTTTAACCGGTACCAGGTTACCTTCAGATGAGTCCCATGACATGACACTTGTGGGGGTCATAGCATGTTTGTGAGAGTCTAATCTTTTCATAGAGTGGTTATATTAGTTAGTAGGCCAAACCGTTCGGACGCTATAGTCGTTTTCATGAGAAGACCAATTTTTGGGATGTCTCATGGTCTGACAAACAGCGCTGTAGCTCTGTCACTTTCCTCCGCAAATGCAGTAGGCCGACATAGGCGGATGTGGTGGATTGAGACACAGCCCATTCAAACTTTAAAAAAATGTTTATTAGGATTTTTTTCGTATCTTAATTAGATTGACACAAGGGTGCGTCAATAGACTCCTAATTAAACTAAGACCCATTAATAGTCCTATCAAATACTACAGTGGCCAGTGTGCTGCTGGATTCTGTCTGTATCTGCATCCTAAATGGCACCCTATTCCCTACATAGTGAACTACTTTTGACCAGAGCCCTGTAGGGTTCACTATGTAGCGTGCCATTTGGGACGCGGCCTGGGTCTCTGCCAGATAAGATGACTGTACACTTTATCAAAGGCACCAACTACAAGCACCACTGACCACATTCCAATCAATACACAGAGAAAGGGATAGGACCAAAACAAAACAAGACAATACAAAGAGATGGAGACCACACAAGACAAGAGAGATATGCTCTCATCTCCTCACTGCTTACAGGTCAAATTCACACCACACTGTACTGTCTGGCACTCTGTTGTAAATCAATGTTGTAGATCAATGTAGATCAATCCACTTTGATAGTAGGATCAAAGTTCTTATATATTAAAACCTCATGACACTTCTACTAAAAGTACTGGATTGAGGAAAGCAATATACCGGTAGTGGAGTCCTGTGTCCACCAAATTAATTTGACCTTTCACCTGACAGATCAGTGAGAACTAAGAAATGGACATGGAAGATGTACTACACTCTGAGAAAAAATGGTTCCAAAAGGGTTCTTCGGCTGTCCCCATAGGAGAACCCTTTTTGGTTCCAGGCAGAACTCTTTTGGGTTCCATGTATAACCCTCTGGGGAAATGGCTCTACATGGAACCCAATAGGGTTCTACCTGGAACCAAAAAGGGTTCTTCAAAGGGTTATTCTATGGGGACAGCTGAATAACCCTTTTAGGTTCTAGATAGCATATTTTTTTCTAAGAGTGTAAGATTAGAACATGGGAAGGATGCATCATTAGGAAACCAGTGTGAAGGATGCATCATTATGAAACCAGTGTGAAGGATGCATCATTAGGAAACCAGTGTGAAGGATGCATCATTAGGAAACCAGTGTGAAGGATGCATCATTAGGAAACCAGTGTGAAGGATGCATCATTAGGAAACCAGTGTGAAGGATGCATCATTAGGAAACCAGTGTGAAGGATGCATCATTAGGAAACCAGTGTGAAGGATGCATCATTAGGAAACCAGTGTGAAGGATGCATCATTATGAAAGCAGTGTGAAGGATGCATCATTAGGAAACCAGTGTGAAGGATGCATCATTAGGAAACCAGTGTGAAGGATGCATCATTAGGAAACCAGTGTGAAGGATGCATCATTAGGAAACCAGTGTGAAGGATGCATCATTATGAAACCAGTGTGAAGGATGCATCATTAGGAAACCAGTGTGAAGGATGCATCATTAGGAAACCAGTGTGAAGGATGCATCATTAGGAAACCAGTGTGAAGGGTGCTTGGTGTATTTTTCTATCTGTCCTAGCCTAGCCACTAGCCAGCCTGTCACAGTACGAAGTGTGTGAGGGCACAAACAGCCACCACCCAGTCACCAGTCCCCAGTGACAATTACAAATCTCTCTGTTTACCCCTCTCTCTCTTTCTCTCTGTTTTTGGAGAAAAGGATAACATTAGCTTTCACAGGGGGAAGAAAACAAGCCAAGCCTGCAGCTCAGGGACCGAGAAAGACAGAGGTAGAGGATGAGGAGGAAGAATAGAGGAGTGATTTCACCAGCATAAGAAAGATGGCTGTGCAAAGGAAGGAAAAATCGATTTCACATGAGGTGGGACAGATTGGTTGTGAGTGACCTTGGAAGACCTATATCCAGGTATTAAATCCTAACCCTACAGAGAGTGGGACCCAGAAGACACATATGTAGTGGAATGGTATCAGGCTCAGAGACACATTCCTTAGTCTAGCCTCCTTAAACCAATGTCCACCTCTTTCAATTTCACCAAATGTCGATGAGAAGCCCAAACAGTTGATGTACAGTAAAAGCCTCTGGAAAGGATAATTTGCCTAGCTACAGCTAGGCAGTTATCCCATTCATAACACTAGGCAGTTATACCATTCATAACACTAGGCAGTTATCCCATTCATAACACTAGGCAGTTATCCTATTCATAACACTAGGCAGTTATCCCATTCATAACACTAGGCAGTTATCCCATTCATAACACTAGGCAGTTATCCCATTCATAACACTAGGCAGTTATCCCATTCATAACACTAGGCAGTTATCCCATTCATAACACTAGGCAGTTATCCCATTCATAACACTAGGCAGTTATCCCATTCATAACACTAGGCAGTTATCCCATTCATAACACTAGGATTTTCCCCCATTCATAACACTAGGCAGTTATCCCATTCATAATACTAGGCAGTTATCCCATTCATAACACTAGGCATTTTAGCTGGTAGGAGGCCGTTAGTGTATTGATTGACATCCATCTTTCCCACAGCATGCTGCCTGCTGATTAAATCACATTACCAGACCACAATGCTCCTTAATCAGATGGAGAAATGAATGAACAATCGTTTCATAACAATAACCATTAAGCTAATGTACTGGACCGAAGCGTCTCGGACCCTCTGCTAAATCATGCTGAAGCAAACTCTGTCTGCATCCCAAATGCACCCAATTCCCTATGTAGAACATTACTTTTGATCAGGGGCCATAGGGCTCTGGTCATGCACTATTTAGTGAATAAGGTGTTATTTGGAACACATCCCATCTCACTCTTCATCTACCTACACACATCACTGACCACCACAGACAGCCTGGTCTCATAGACTAGACGTAACATAGTAAATGTAAATTAGTATGATATGTTATGTTTGGTATGGTTACATAAGACAGAAGGTTACTTATGGCAAAAATGAAAGTAGGGTGGTTAGTTGGGGTGGATGGGTAGGTATAACACAAACGTCTAGCAACCCAAAGGTTGCGTGTTCGAATCTCATCACGGACAACATTAGCATTTTAGTGAATTAGTAACTTTGCAACTACTTATTACATTTGAGCTATTTTGCAATTAAAAAAAAAAATATATATATATATATATACATACTGTCACATACACTGGATAGGTGCAGTGAAATGTGTTGTTTTTACAGGGTCAGCCATAGTAGCAGAGTGCTCCTGGAGCAAATGAGGGTTAAGTGCCTTGCTCAAGGGCACATCGAC